GAAACTGGTCTCCAGGGTGGGGAAAACTTACCTGTAGAAAGGTTCCCTCCCACAAAGCCCAGGTGCACATGTGCCCCAGAACCCTGGACTCCCTATCGGCTGGGTTAACACCAGAGCCAGGACCACTCCTTTTTAATTCATCTCTCTCTCTCTCTTCTCTTTCACCCTACCCCTCTATCTGACGTGCACAGCTGTGTGCTTACACTGGGAGGTCAGGGACTAACATACCAATTTCCATGCCCAGTGTGTAATTTACTAATAAAACTTCATAAGCTTTTGGGGACCCTCTGACTTTTGCTGTTCCTCTCAACCCCGAGCATCTGTGAATCTTGGATGGTCCCTTCCCCTAAAGGGTGGGACACCATCCTTCCACTTTCCATCTTCTGGACCTACCTTGCTGTGCAATGTCATGGTACAGGCGTTCCACTCGAGAATTATTTCGGAGAAGATCCAAACACTGTCTATAGGATTCCCATAGAAATTTAACCCAGGGGGTCAAAAGCAGTCGGTCAGTACGATCCTGAGTGTCTTCTCCACTCACAGCACTCAAAAGAACACTATAATCAGGGCAGGGGGGAAGGGAAAACAAAAAAACAAAAGTGGGTTACTGCCTACAATTCTCATCAATTTTTCTTATCAAGTTCTAAGGTGAGACTGGACAAATCTGAACAGAAAATTGCTGCTGAACAGTCTACTGCTTATTTTCTAACTGGTACCTCAGATGGCTCCCTTTTCCTTTAAAGGATGTAGATAACTGTTCTTAAGTTTCAAAATCTAGCCCCCACATACATAACTGACACATCCAAGCTCCAGAGGAAAGAGACTTCAGGAACTTCTGCATCCTTCACCAGTAAGCCAAAGGAAACTAACTCCAGGATTTTCACCTTCCCTTTTCTACCAGGGAGCTGTGCACTGGACCTCTGCTAGAGTCAAGTATCACTGCCAACACAGACACTTTGGTACTTGCTCAGAGCTCCTTTTTAGCCACCAGCAATGCTGCCAGAGTTCTCTTCTCATTGACACGCGACACAGAGGCGCCGTGTGCCTTACAGTCTACAGACAGCGAAAACCAGAATACTTAAAATATCAAATCCTTCCAAAATTCTGACAGGAGAAAGGTGCTTAAATAAATGCCACAAGGCAAGATGTGATAATCTTGTATTTAGCAGCCATAACTTCATTCCCTCCTCAGAGAAATACGAGATTGGTGAAAGGATTCCTGACAGTGAGACCAATTCAGTGCTATGTCTCACATGGTCCCTTTATGCTGAACAGCTCACCCAGCGTGACAAACTGAGAGAACCATCTTCCCTAAGCCTTCATTTTTAAGTCTTTTTGAATTATGCTTCTAATATAAACTGTCAGCTCTTGTAACTCTTTTCTAATACACCACTTCCAGTTCTAATTTGCTTCCTTGAGCACCAGTACTATGCGCAGCATTAAACACATAACCAGTGGCTTCTCCAACAGATCGAGTGGTGAATTCAGCAAAAAAGTACGAGAAGTCTAGAAAACAGGACCTAAAGAATCCTAAAAAAGCTGTGCTTGTTCAGATAAAGAATTGTGGTTGAAAACACATTCTCTAGTCCTCAATTATAGAAAGGAGAACAAAGAAAAGAGCAGTTGGTCCATCTTCACTATTTAACTATTAGTGGGACTCCTCTGTAACAATTTCAGGCTCTGGAAAAAACACAAATGGCACTGCCATGCTGGAACATCTACTGATGACAGGTCTGGAACCTTTTCTTTTTTTTTTTTTCAACCAACTTCTGCCAGAGAGCTCTGCTGTTAACGTTTAAAACACTTCTTCACCCCTGCCTTGTTACCCCTTTTCCACAGCTGTCACCCATACATCTCTGTACGTGGGATGTATGGCAGGATGTTCCCTTGCCAGGGAAGGTCTACACACAACCTAAAGCAGATGTATTTACTGATCCTTTTTTCCATTCCTCTCTGTTATCATTATCCATTCAATTAATTCTTACTCTGAATGTACTTTTTATGCCCTTTCTTCTGTTATTTCATCAGTTACTCAAGCAATTATAAAGTAACATCTCCTGTGGTTTGTACATGCACAATGTGGTGAGAAAAACTGGAGGTTATCAGATACAGGAATTACATTGGTCTAATATCATTAACAGCGTTTATACATCAACTGGTAATGAGCAGCTTTCCATAATAAGCTCTCCAATACCACTACAGACGCAAATCAGAGCAGACACTGGAAAGCAGTGACCCAACTCCCAGAACCACTCCCACAATTTTTCTACTCTTTACTACTTACTTTCTTTACTTCTCGTTACTCTAATTTAGGGTTTTGTTCAATGAAAAATTCCTACTTTCTCCCAACTTTTAAAACCTCTAGACCATCACTGGTATTCCATTTCAAATCCACCCCATCTACACCTCGGCTTTGTGAATGAAAATAAGTATACTTTCTGTGAATTGCTACATTTTAAAGACAGGCTGCCCACCTTTCTGGAGTTTGAATGTTATCCAGGTCTTCTATGTCCAGTACCATCTGCTGGGACTCCTCCTTAGCTGCTTCTGTTTTTTCTTCAGCTAATTTTAAATAGGCTCGAACAACATCCTCCAAAGATTTGATATTAACCTGCACCAAAGGCAAAGACACGGGAAGATGTTTCCACCCACAACAGGTAGCAAATATTGAAAATGTAAATGCTACAAACCCGAGAGCACCTAAAAGGCAGATGAACTCTAACTCAAGACAATTCAGTTCCTTTTAGACTGTATCAGCTGACAGATACCATGCTGGCTATCAATAAATAAAACCCAAAATCAGAAGCCACACCTGCTGGCAGATATTCTTGTACTGGTACAGTCCTTCTTTTGCCAGGTGACTCTTGCGGAGATCCACGCAGAGCTCCAGGTACTTCAGCATAATCGGCTCGTGGATTTTCTGCCATGTTCGGTGTTTCTTACTTTTCATAACATCATAGAGAACATCAAGGGCAGGCTGCTTTTTGCCAACCTCAAGGAATTCTGAAAGGAAAAATCTCAGTTAGCAAAAGACTTGCATACCAGAAGATGCATTTTTTTATGTTTAACACAAGAAACTTTCAGAATTTAATTAACTCTACCCATAGTTTGTTGATGGTTTGTTTTAGTGCCAGTTGTTGAATGACATAAGTGGTGAACAAACCTCTCCATTTAGAGTGAAACATCAGGATAGCGGAGATGTCTCTCCATCCATCCTGCATGACTGAGCACTTCATGCACAGTAGTCAAATCTACACATCCAGTGGTAAAGCTGGTTTCAGAGGCAAGGAGGAAAAGGAACAAGTAAAGGAGAGAAGGAAAGAAACTAACTTCACTCAGGAAAGTTTTAGTGTTGTGGGTTTGTTGGTTCTTTTTAACTCAGAGTGGTCTAGCACTTTTGTATAAGTTCCACCAAAAGCCGCTGCAGTTCAGCTGAAGGGTCAGACACCTTTCAAACCAGCCTTGCTGCTGGAACCAGTGGCCCGTTTGTTCACCCCTAAGCAGCTGCTGTTACTAACAGGAGCTCTCAGCACCACAGCAGCTCCCACCCCTGGTATCCCACACATTCTGCTCAGCACAAAACCCAGCAAACCATCCACGAGCAAACACCAAGGCAGCAACCCACACACACAGACCCTACACTGAGTGTGCTCCTCACTGCAGCAGAAACGA